TAACTTGCCACTAGTGCGTTTAATGGAGGTCATTTTACACAATAGCTGGTAGTGCTTCAGCTCACTTCGCATAACATCTCTGCCATATATCCACATTCCTTCACGGTAAACGTCAAATCCCCTGTCATTGCAGCATATGTCGTTTTACGACTGTTTAGCTTAGCTTCTGTAAGCCTGATCTCAGTAAAAATGTACAGACCAAACAATGTACTGTGCTTCCTATGCAATTCTACCTGGCTGTAGTGACCAGGCTTGGCAAAAAGTGCATTCCCATGCGCGGTTGACTGTCAATGCTTTAGGTGAAATTATACTATGACACTCACTGGGTATAAATGTGACCCTGCAGCTAAACTGTAGGAACAACATGAACGTGAGGGTTTCGTCTCAAGCACAGTTCACCAGTAGGTTTTTTGCTATGGTTAGATTTGAAGAGTTCTGTAAACACTGATAATGTACAATAGTGACGGTACACTGAAGTCTCTACTGAAGCAGTGCCAATAGGGAAAGTGAGAGTAAAGGTAGGTATACTAGAGGAAGAGACTCATGTTCTCAACACTCTGTCTTTCCCTTTGCACTCATCTCGTACTGTTAACACAATGGAAATCGTTGACCCTTTTTTCCTCGTGGCTCTCTTTCAGCGCCCAGGGGTGAAGATGTAGTCCAGTGCCTGTCTCTCGGCTGCGGCCACGTTTGGATGCCACAGGTCCACCATGAATACCACTCTCGGGCCATCTTCTGGAGAACCTGAGCACACAGATATGAAAATCATGATGGAAGTGGTAAATACTAACACTGGGTTCAGTAAGTGTGTGTATGCACAAATTTGGGCGTAAAATCTGCATACAAACATGTTCACAAACAATGATTCACCATTAACTTTTGACTAAAATGTATTCTAAATTCACGGAAATTACAGTTGAACCCACACATACACAAAAAGCATATACGCTGCATGGTTTTATATTCGTATTAAGAATGTGTTTATGCATAGATAATTCATCTTTTGTATATTTTACTAAATACTGTTATAGCTCAATCTGAGAGGTTTATCTGTATAACAACGCAGATATGTTACAGCTTGCTAATTAGAGGTTTTTATGAAAAGTGATCACTGTATTTGAAATGGTTTTGAGGATGGCACACTTGGCATTGCTTGAGGATCTTGCTGCATGTCTCTCAGGCGAGAGCATATCTTTTGAGAGAATCGTATAGTCAAAAAAGACTGTAAAGGAAAGCCTGTCTGAAAAACCCTTATATCGAGATGGTTTGGGTGTGTTTTATGCAAATTTCTCATTTAGTATATTGAATGAATGAATGAGGCATCTATATAGAGCTTTCATTGTGTATTGCTGCACACCCAAAGTGCTTTACAATCATATGAGGGGATCTCTCCTCAACCACC